GGAAAGGAAAGGAAAGGAAAGGAAAGGAAAGGAAAGGAAAGGAAAGGAAAGGAAAGGAAAGGAAAGGAAAGGAAAGGAAAGGAAAGGAAAGGAGAAAGAAAGGAAAAGGGAAAGGAGAGGGAAGAAAGGGAAAGAAACGGAAGAAAAGGGAAGAAGAAGAAAAGGAAGAAAGGGAAGAAAGGGAAAGAGAAGAAAAGGAAAGGGAAGAAAAGGAAAGGTAAAGAGAAGAAAGGGAAAAAGAAGAACAGGAAGAAAAGGAAAGGGAAGAAAGGGAAGAAGAAGAAAAGGAAAGGGAAGAAAGGGAAGAAAGGGAAGAAAGGGAAGGCGTGCTGGCTCTCCCCAGAGCCTCCCCTCTGCCCGGGCCCGTGTCCAGCCCGGGGGGCACGGCGTGGCAGTGCCAGGGTCACTCACTTCTCCAGGTAGATGCTGGACAGGCTGTACACCTGCTCCATCTTGCGCAGCGTCACCTCCAGCTCGGAGCGCAGCACGGGCGCCGAGCTCGGCTGCTCGGGCTGTGCCAGCACCTGCTCCGTCTTCTCACTGACCTTGTCCAGGTCCTTCTGGATGCCCTCCAGCTCCAGGTGTGTTTGCTGCAGGCAAGGGATCCCTCATCAGGCCTCGCTGGCTGCAGCCCCGACTGAATTCTCCCCCCTCCCGGAGCCCAGGAGCAGCAGGGGGAGGCTCTGCAGCCCCCGGGTGAGGGGGGACAGGGGAGGGTCGGGAGGGATATTGGGAAATTCCGCCTGGAAAAGGCAGGGCAGGGTGGAGTGCCAACCCTGCAGAGGTTTTACAGCGGGTGCCCGAGGCCAAAAAAGGACTGGAACTGAATTTCTGTTCTGTTTGTTGTGGATTTCAGAGCTGTTGTGGGGTTTTGTCTTGCTAAATATAATAGTAAAGAACTATTAAAGTTATTATTGAAGTTATTATTGGAGTTATTATTGAAGTTATTATTGAAGTTTAATAATAACTTTAATAATAACGTCAAGAATAAGTTATTATTAAAGTTATCCCTATCCCCGTGTCATCGTCTGCCAGCCCCCTTAATTCCAAAATTAAAATACTGTGGGGGGAGGGAGTTTCCGTTCCCCATTTCCTGCCTCTCCTCAGCAGATACCTGTCTGTCACACCAGGACTGTGACACCTGGGGACACGAGGACTCGGGGGGCTCTGGGAGCTTTTCCAGCCCAAACCAATCCCCAGGCCCACGCTGGCACTGGGGTGCCCGTGTGT